AGCAGGAGGATCACAACTTCAAAGTCAGTCTGGGCAACAGAGAAAAACCCTGGGAGGGCAGGGACACAACTGAATTTCAGTGTAGTGTTATTTAGAACAATTGGGAGTATTTGGGCATACCCAGCAAGAAGGGTAGCTAAAAGCAAGATTTAGAACTGGGTGTGGTGGCACATGCCTTTAATCCCAGCACTAGGGAGGCAAAGGCAGGCTGATTCTCTGTGAAATTGATGCCAGCCTGGTCTACAGAGCAAGTTCCAGGCCAGCTGGTACTGTGGGGAAACCCTATCTTTATATATATATATATATATAAATTTTTTGGTCTCTTTTTTCCTTAAAAAATATTTTATTATTTAAAATTTTATGTGAATGGGTGTATTGCTTGCATGTGTGTAAGTGCACCCATGTCGTGCAGTGCCCTCGGAGGTTAGAAGAAGGCATCCGATTCCCCTGGAACTGGAGTTATATGGACAGTTGTTAGCTGCCATGTGGGTGCTGGGAATCGAACCCAGATCCTCTTCAAGAGCAGTCAGTGCTCTTAAGTGCTGCGCCATCTCTCCAGCCCCCGGGAGACCCTGTCTTTTTTTTTTTTTTTAAATAAGATTCCTAATTACATTATAACTTCCAAGTGTTAAGCAGTAAACCTGGTTTTGAGACTGATTCTTTCTAGGTAGCTATTTGCCAGATAGCACTTAGATTTTGATACAAAAATAAGACAAAACTCCTTTTGAGCCTGTAATGACTACACCATCTCTCTATTCCTCCTTTAAGCATACCCCTTTGAAAAATGATCTGTGGCTCTCCTGAAGCCAGCCAAGCTTTTGTCCTTGAGTTATTCTACTGAAATCCAGTTATCAAGTCTCCAGTGACCTCCAGTGGCCACTTCTCAATCCTTATCTCACTTGTTAGCATTAGACAGTGGATCACTTCCTCTGAAATACTTATTTCTCTTTATTCCAAGTGGCACATGGTTTCCCTTACTTTACTGACTGCTCCCTCCTGTTATCCTTGGATAGCTTTTTGTTGTTGTTTTGGTTAACAGAAAGAATGGCATTGTATTTTTTGTGGTAGAATGTAAGTAACCTGAAATTTACCATCATTTTTTAGTATAAAATCCAGTAATATTAAGTTCATTCACTGTTATGCAAATGTTACCACCACACATCTTCAGAACTCTCCATTTTGGATAATTGAAATGCTGTAGCCATTAAATAACAACTTCTCATTGTCCCCTCTCACAGCTCCCTGGCAGCCACCATTCCTACCTACTATTGCATTCACTCTATTGATGTCTTTGTGTGTGTGTGTGTGTGTGTGTGTGTGTGTGTGTGTGTGTGTGTGTGATGTGCTGGCACATGTATCACTGTTTACATGTGGAGGTCAGAGGACAGCCTGTGGTAGTTAGTTCTCTCCATTGTGTGGATTTTAAGGATTGAACTCAGGTCATAAGGCTTGGTGGCAAGTGCCTTTACTCACTGAGCCATCTTAGCGTACCCTGTTGATGTGTCTTTGATTCATAAAAGTTTTAAATTTTGATGTTGTCCAATTTATTGCTTTTTCCTTTTAGTGATTGCACTTGCAGTGTCGTGCTCCAAAGTTACTGCTAAATCCAGTATTATGTAGCTTTCCTCCACATTTTCTTCTGTGTGATTTTAGTTAACGGTCTCATATTTAGAGCTTTGATCTCTTTTGAGTCAGTTTTTGAATACAGTATAGGGAGAGTGTCCAACTTCATTTTCTTCATGTGAATAGCCAGTGTCCTTGAACCTTCTGTTGAAAAGAGGGTTCTTCCTTGACTGAATGCTACCTGTGTAAAACATTATGTGACCATGTAGGTGAGGGCTTTTTTGGGGGCTCTGTAGTCTATACATTTTGGTATGTTGTCTTCATTTCCACTCTGTTCAAAATAAGAACTTGTATGCCAGATGTGGTGGCACACGCCTATTATCCCAGTGCTTGGATGGTACCTAGGCAGGGATGTTGCTGCAAGTTCAAGACCAGCTTGCTCTACATAGCCAGCCAGACCTACAGAAAACAACCTTGCCTCAAAAACAAACAAATGAAAAAAATCAAAAAATAAAATACAAAACAAATACTAACTTCATATATTCTTGACAGTCTCTGTGTATTTAGACTGCTGATGTGTAAAGTGATGATTGCTCTCATTGGATTAAGACCTACCATGTTTGTCACTTTTATTGCCCTTATTCTTTTTTCTTTTATTTTTATTTTCCTTTTTTTTGTTTTCTGTTGTTTTCACTATTCTGGTTTTAATTATTTTGTATTCTACTCTTTTTTTTCCTCTTACCAAATTGATTATACTGATTTTTAAGTGACAGTCCTTGACCACTATGCTACTTACTGGGCAGTGTAAGTGCCTTATAACAAAATTTCTCACACCAATCCCTTGTAACATTGCTGCCATTTAGTTCATGTAATTCATAAACTATTATTACTGTTATTATAAACAAATATGAGGGTTTATTGCTGGACTTTCTGTTCTATAAATTTTGGTATGTTGTATAATTTATTTTCCACCAAATGTTATCTTTTAGACCAATTATGGATAAGAAAAGTGACATTTATCACTAAAATCATTTTCCTTTCTGAAGAACATGTTTTCACAGTTCTTGGAAGGCAGGCCTATTGGTAGCTAATTTGTTCAATTTTTGTTTGAGGAAATCTGTTCTTTCCTCATTTCAAAGGTTAATTGACCTAGATGCAGAATTGTAGCTTAGAAGAGAAATCTAAAATAATTTTTAATCCTTGATTTTTCTTTCCTCTGGCTTCTTTCAGCGTTTTCTCATTGTCTTTGATTTTTCTGCAGTTTGATGTGTGCCTGAATAGATATTTATTTTACTCAGTTTTCTCTGAGTTTCTTGAGTTTGTAGTTTAGTGTCTATTCTGGTTCTTTTTTAAAAATATATTTTGTTTATTATTTTTTTTATGTGTATACATGTATTGCCTACATGTAGGAAAGTGCACCCATGTCATGCAGTGTCCATGGAGGACAGAAGAGGCCGTCGGATCCCCTGGAACTGGAGTTATGGACAGTTGTTAGCTGCCATGTGGATGCTGGGATTTGAACCCAGGTCTTCTGCAAGAACAACCAGTGTTCTTAACAGCTAAGCTATCTCTCCAGCCCCTCTGGTTCTTTTCTAGCAGTCTTCTCTGCCTCCCAGTCCTCTGTGTTTAGCCCCGTCTTCAGACTATCTGAAGCCAACTCATTCTTACCACCCCCACTGCAGCTGCCTTGGTTCACATTGTCTTAGGTTGCAGCTGCCTTCAGATTGTCCTTCCCACTTCTGCCCTTGAGTGCTTTCATAGCTAGAGGAAACTTGCCATCCTCTGTTCAGAGTCATCTAGTAGCTTCATCTCTCATGTCAAGTAAGAGCCAAAGTCCTTGCCATGGTCTAAAAGTTGGGAGTTAGCTCTTCCATCTCTACTATATCTCCTACTGATACCCCTCTTTGCTGTCCAGTTTGCAGGACATTACCTGTTCTTATGGAAGTTACCAGGCTTCTCAAGGCTTTCCTACCCTCCTCATTTGCATATGGCTGTTCTTTAATCTCCCCTAACCTTTTAACAAATTTATTACTTTTATGTGTGTGATTGTATTGCCTGTGTGTAGAAAGTGCATCCGTGTTGTACAGTGCCTGTGGAGGCCAGAAGAGGGCGTCGGATCCCCTGGAACCGGAGTTAAGGATGGTTGTGCTTACCACGTGGATGTTGGGAACTGAACCTGGATCCTCGGCAGGAGTAGCTAGTGCTCTTAACTGCTGAGCCATCTCTCCAGCCCTCCCCTAGCCTTTAGATCTTTGTTCAAATAGCGCTTTTGAAAAATTAAACCACATACTCTTTGAAGCCCTTTTCTGCTTCATTATTCCTCAAAATGTATGTTTGTTTGCAATAGTTGAATTGAATCTAGGGCCTTGAATATGCTAGGTTGCACCCCAGTCTCTTCACCAAAGCACTTTACCGGAAGACTTGTCTCTGGCAAAGGAGAGCATGGCATACTGCAGAAAATGAAATGGAGAACTGAGAACAGAAGGAAGCACCTTGTCACATGAAGCGAGGGTGGGATTTAGGGGTCAGACTATGCAGACCATCCTTTTTGGCCTTTTAAAGTCTATCCTTAAGGATAATGGGGGATCACTGAAATATCTTACTTACCTGGAGGGTTTATCAATCACTAATGTGATTGAATTTGTCATTTTTGAAGTCATTCTAGCTCCTAAACTGAAGGAGAAAGATTGGCTATGCAGCAGTCAGAAGACGATCTGTTGGAGTGGTTCAGGTACCAGCTTTTACCAAGTTACTTTGTCTTTTATGGTTGATGGCCATGTCAAAGACTGTTGGAACTGTGAATGTTTGAAGGGATCCATTTGTAAACATCCCAATCACCAGATGAAGCACTCCCAATTTTATAGGATCTCCTTTTGATTTCATTATGAGAAAGTAGAATGACTTACCTAGTGTACATCTTCAGTCTAAGTCCTAGAAATTCTGTAAGTTAAATAGTTGTATGCCCTTTTGTGTATTTTTTTTGTATTTCTTAACATTTGTCACAAAATCAACATTTGTAATTTAATTATTCCTGCTTAATGGCCATGTATAGGACATGTTCAACTTATTTTTACGTTAGAGCTATGACTTTGGTTCTATTTTCACCCTTTATTTAGATTACAGGGCAATATTACAGTTTCAGAACAAACATGATGATACTGTTGATAAGTATGGCGTGGGAATTCTGGGAACAGTGGGTGGTTTTCCACTTTAGGGAACAGGAGAGAACAGGTGCAAATTCAGTGAGCCACCAAAGGGTGTGGCTTGAACTTAGGGCAAGAAGCACAGCCCTGACCATCCATCTGTGGTCTCCACAGCAAATCAGAGTTTCCTATTTAAAGTAATTGTAGGTGCAAGAGAAAAAGCAACTACAGATTGGCTTATTAATTAGTCTGGATGAATACTCAAGTGTCCCCGATCTGCGAGGTAGCAGATCTTCAGAGTGACTGTTGGAGTAAGGAACCTTTCATGTGCTTCCAGATGTAATGTAGTACATAGAGGCTGGTGTTAGTCCTGTCACACCACTTCATGCTACCCCTTGAAGACTACCTGTACCTTTATACACCATGTCTGTCATGTTTCCAACTGCTACTGTGTGTTGACGTCATCTTCTGCACCTCATGTTTTCTTGATGATGACACTACATGCACTGTGGAGCAAAGCCAGGGAACCTGGAGGATTAGCCAAAAGTGCCTCTTTCTTAGTTACCATATTCAGAAATCTACTTTCTTGGTGTGGACCAGGCCATGTTCTGGGTGTTTTCAATCCTAGCTGAAGTGTGAACTGTCCCAAATGTATCTCCTGTCATGGAACATCTGGTGATGAAGAAGACAAATTCAAATATTCCCTGGGTTTTATCAATTCCGGTTAGCAAAATAAATTATCTGTATCCTAACGGAGAGCTGGTAGATCCAAATTTACTTATGGATACAGAGGGATCATGGTAGTTAGTGAAATGCTGGCCAAATCAGCCTGCAAGTAATCTGCCTCATCAACTCCAAAAGAAGCTGGCCGATCCTCCCACACTCATGTGTTGTTGCCACCGCCCCCCACATGACGTGGCAGCAAACTGCCCTCAGCTTCCTAGTGCCATCTCAGGCTGGGGCCACCTCAGGCCAGAGCTGTGAGTCCCGTTGTTTCACAGCAATAGCAGAAAGACTTAGTGGCTACTGCCACTCTACATCATGACTCCAATCTGATTTATCTTCTAATTGTGTTGCTCTGTTTGTCTTAACCTCATTTCATCTTTGAAAAAATTTAAGAATCTGGGAGCAGAGGCTATAGCTCAGTTCGTAGAGTGCTTACTTAGCATGCACAAAGTCCTGGTTCTCTTTAGCACTGCATAAACATGGCATGGTCCCACAAATGCACACACACACATGCACACTTGAGCCCACATACACATACACACATAATCTTTGCACTTGGGAAGTAGAAATAGGAAGATCAGGAGTTCAGGGTCATCCTCAGCTACATATCAAGTTTGAGGCCAACCTGATATGCACGAGACCCTGTCTCAAAAATAAATAAATAAATAAATAAAGTAAGTAAATAAGTTAATTAGGCTTCAATATTGCTTCCCTGAGTTTCTTTAAGTACAGGAATTAGCATATAACATAGAACTAGAACCCTTGTGAGACTAGGAAACTCCTAACATGGCCATGCTAAGATGGATTCAAGACTCTTTAAACAGACTAATAAACAGGGATGCTAATAGTTTTCTAATGTGGTTTAAAAAAAAACAAATATGGCATTGCTCTCACTTTAGTTTGGAGGGAATAAACATTAAATTTTTGTACCTAAATTGTGTTAACATTGCTTAATAATTAAAAAACAATGAGATGTCTTAGTCCTGTTTCATCTGTTAATACATTGAATATAAATGAGGGGAAGTGACTTGTCCAGGCTTTTAGCATTTACAGAGTCTGGTTTCGGGTCCAGCTAAGTCTGTGTGTTTTTCCCTTTGGCTCAGGGCATCAGCCTGTCCTCATTTCCTCTGAGCTTTTCCAAGAGCTGTGACATCAATTCAAGAAGGTTAAGAATCAGTGCATTTTGCTTTGCTGCTTCGTAATTTACAGTTCCTAAACCGGAAGTGTTGTACGTTCTTGTCTTAAATTTCCTCTGTAAAGCTTTCCTCAAAATACCAGGAGTACTGCAGTGACAGTAAAGTAGCAGCATTTAGCTTTGCTAAATGCTGTGTGTACATTTTCTTATTTGTTGTTTACACCAGTGTTGCTGAACTGATAAAAGATTAACCTTTTTTATCTCAAGTGCCAGTCCCATTCTCATCCAATTCTAAATGCTGCCCTAGATTATTGAAATATAAACTATTGAACACAGTGGGAAAGACCATATACATTAGTCTGGCTTTGAATCCAGGCTCAACTATTTCTTTCATGCCATTGAGTATTTACTGTTTCCCAAGTATTGCTTAGGGCACTAGGGATGACATCTTTCTTTATATTTTCAAATGATGATATTGTTTACCTGGGTTGCTAAAAATTAAAACATATTAACAGTTTTTTTTTAAACAGTTTACTGCCATCCTTACTGGTCTGCCCTCTCCAGTTTCTTGTTCCTCTGTTCATCCTACACAGTGTTCATGCAGCTATTTATTTTTTCCCAGGCTCCTACTATAAAACTTTAGGTGGCTTTGTTCTTGTGATAAGAAAGTTCCTGTTCTTAGGATGTCGTAGAAAGACCATGGTAACTTGTTAGCCTGCTGCTAAAACATCCTATGTGGTCATTTCTTCTCTCACTTGTCACAGTGAATGCTCAGTAGTTTACTCCAAGAGTACCTTGAGTCCTTTTTCTTAGAATTTGATGTCTATAATATTCCTCCGCCCACACCTCCTCTCCCTGGCTTCCAAGTAATACATACAAGGCACACAGTGATACACTCTCCTTACATGTCCTCTTTCTCCTCAGCCTTCAGCGGTAGCCTGTGCATATATTCAGGTTGATCAACACAAGGGAGTAGAAGCAGGTGTTATGCTAGCAAATAAACTCTGGAATCAAGCTTCTTGAATTTGAATCATACCTTTTCTTCCTAGATGTGGGCTCTTGAGCATGTTACTAATTAGTTTCTACCTCATAAGCATAAGCTATCTCCTTCCCCCAAGTTAATATTGGGGGTTGAATCAATGTCTTGTACAAACTAAGCAGATGTGCTGCCACTGAGCTACATCCTCAAGCCCCTTATTCTGAGTTTTTCTTACAGCAGTCCTGGCACACACTAAGCACGTAGTACATTCCTGCTGTTAATACTTTTGTGGTGGTGATATATACACAGCAAAGCATAAGACATGAAAAAGAAAGTTGTCATTTAAAATCTGGGGATACAGGCTTGGATATGGCATCTTACTTATGCATGTCATTTAATTCAAGAAAAACTTTATATAAGGTTTCTCTTTATAATACAATATAATAGAATAATGATTGTTGTTTTTTTTTTATTTTTGATTACTTAAGAGCTTTGTAAATGGCAGAGTGCTGTATAAAAGTTCAGTTGCTTCTGGTAATGTGGTTTTCTTTTCCCTTTCAGGAAAGGTCATAACATTTCAGCTGGGTGGAAGAAATGAAATGGTCTATAAAAAAATAAAGATATTTCTGGGCGTGGTAGAGCATGCCTGTAATCTGAGCACTCAGGAGGCTGAGGGTCATTTCAGCGTCAGGCTACCTATTGAGGAGGTCTGTCTCAATATACAGTTGCTTCTGGTAATGTGGTTTTCTTTTCCCTTTCAGGAAAGGTCATAACATTTCAGCTGGGTGGAAGAAATGAAATGGTCTATAAAAAAATAAAGATATTTCTGGGCGTGGTAGAGCATGCCTGTAATCTGAGCACTCAGGAGGCTGAGGGTCATTTCAGCGTCAGGCTACCTATTGAGGAGGTCTGTCTCAATATATATATATAAATTTGGCAGTCCTGTTAAGGGTATAAAATTAGAGCAAATGCTTCCATTTGTGGAAGTGTGTCTATCAAGGATTCCAGAATTGAATATATTTAGCTGTACTTAACAGAATTTAGTTATCCTGGTCAAGTGTCTCTCTTAAAGTTTAAAAAAAAAAAGTTTTGGTCAATCTTTTGTACTACTAGTACTGAGCGTAAAAACTAGATCTTTGTGCATCTCAGTACTTGCTCTTGAAAATGGTCACAGTGGCTCATCCTTGGAGTGATTTTGAACTGGTTTTATAATACAAACATACACTCTTAAGAGGTGTTAGTCTTAAGATTTTTCAGACCTAGGGGCTGGGGAGATGGCTCAGTTAGTAGAATACCTACTCCACAAGCATGAAGACCTGAGTTCAGATACCCACCAACCATGTAAAAAGCCAGGCAGGTGGTACATACTTGTAATCCTAATGCTGGCGAATCAGAAACAAGAGGATCCCTCAAGCTCACTGGCAGCTAGTCTTACCCAGACAGTGAGCTCCAGGTTGAGTGAGAGACTCTGTCTCAGAAAATAAGGTGGAGAACGAAAGAGGAAGACATCCAGCATTGACATGTATCTACATACATCTGCACACATGTGTGCATGTGAACCTGTACATATGTGCAGACACATATGAACATACATACCATACACACACACACACACACACACACACACACACACAGTTTTCAGCCTGGTTTACAAACATTGTATTTGACTTCTTCCATTTCCATGTCCCTTAGAAGCTTACTGATGGATGCACTTTTTGATGATTTACTATGTTGCTAAAACAGGATACAGGCAGTCCCTATTTTGATAGCCCATAGATCCAAGAGCACATGTTGTTCCCAAAGGCATAGAGTACAGGATATTTTTGGATGCAGTACTATTCTCCCTTTTTCTGTTAATAAGAGGCATTCCGAGTATTTGACATTTAGGAGGAAAAGTTATAGAGATTTTAATAAAGACCTTCCCTTTGAATTTTTATCATTTTGATATGAGAAGTGTATTTTACTTTGGCACCTTTATCTGATTTAAAGTAAAATAAGTATGCCTGAGATTTTCATTTAGAAGTATGTTTTTTCTAAAATATTTCGACAAAACAACCCAATCTGCGAATTTAATTATATATGTACCTTATCACCCACATTTCTTTTTAATTAAAAAAAACTTTTGCGTTTTACTATTATACCTGCATGAATATAAGTGCACATGTGTGATGCAATGTCAGTGGAGGCCAGAAGAGGGTATCAGATCCCCTGGAACTGGGTGTTATGGATGTGTCAGTTTCATGTGATTGCTGGGATTCGAACCTGGGTCTTCAGCAAACAGCAGCCAGTACTCTTAACCACTGAGCCATCTCTCTATCCCCTCACCCATAATTCAGATTAAACTACTGCATTAGCAAAAGAAGACTTTTTAATGCATTAAGACAAAGCACAAAGGAAATGATATGATTTCTTTGTGTGTGTGTGTGTGTGTGTGTGTGTGTGTGTGTGTCTGTGTGTCTGTGTGTCTGTGTCTGTGTCTGTGTCTATGTCTATGTCTATGCTGGCACGCTGGGGGCTCAGATCTCGGGCTTTGACATGCAGCACCTCTACCACTGAGCTTTGCTACCAGCCCTTCTTTTAGTTCTTTTTCAAGTCTTCAAATCAGTGTCAGTATTATTTGAGAGTACCAGCTTGTCTCCAGGTGTGGTGGTGCACAGTTGTAAACCCAGCATTCCAGAGGCTGAGATAGGAGAATCTTGAGTTTGAGGCCAGCCTGGACTAAGTAGTAAGTCCTATCACAAACAAAAACTAGCAAGCTATCAAAAAACAATCTTGCTAACTCATTTGCTTGATAACATGAAAATTCATAACACAGAGAACAATCCTGTTTCAAGTTGTGTCACAAAAATGTTTGTTTTCCTAGCTGTCTTTCCAAAAAAGAAAAACAAAACTAGAATGAATTTCTTCCTAAATTAGGTGTTTCTGTTTCTTGATACAAAAATTGTCTTTTAGAAATTGTTTATATGATATAATGGGGTAACATTCAGCCATGCAACTTGTTTTTATTAGTTCCTCCACCTCAAATCTAGAATTATTAAAATAATGCTTGAAGATTTCTTTAGTAAAATGAAATGAAAAGATCTTTTTTGTTAAGACAGACTCTCACTGTGTAAGCCTGACTGACCTGGAACTGACTATGTAGACCAGGCTGGCCTTGAACTCACAGAGCTCCTTTTGTTTCTGCCTCCCAAGTACAGGAGCTAAAGTCAATTTTTACCTGGAAAAAGGTCTTTCTTTATAACATCAAAATAGTAGGTGAATATAAGAACCTAACATTCTAGAAATAAGATATGATTAGATTGTTAACAGTAATTCTGAGTTGATTATATATGACAGACAATTCTCACAGTGATGGTATATTTTATTAAATCCACAAC